TACTCTGTGGGATATTTGTTGTATCTGGTTTATATACAAGGAATTGAAAAAGCCAGATATAAAACATTTTACTCTGTGGGATATTTGTTGTATCTGGTTTAAATACAAGGGCCAAAGTTTTGCCCAAATCTTGAAAATGTAAGTGACAGAGGTAAAGCTGAAATATTTTATCTCTTCACTCTTGGAGAAGAGTTCTTTCCAAGAGTCTAAGTAGCCTCAGAATTGTATAACTTTCAGATGGACAGGCATGATCTGCCAGGATATAGTTTTAGCTCCAGTCTAGCATCAGTTAATTTTGAGAGCTATTTCATATTTCCGGCATCTCCTTAGTGTAGAAGATAAGCAGCATTTACCTAGTTCTTTATCATCTGTACCTTAAACTTTTTGCAGTAGGCTGGTATTCAGCATTCTCTAATTTAACATTCAAAATTGATGACTAGTTAAAGAAGTTTGAAATTTACTCCACCTCCCTCCTCCCCCCTCAAATGGCACTTTCAGGTGACATTTTTATAATTCAGTTCAAAGGCAAGTCATTAGCCACAGGAAGATTTGTTTTGGAAGTAAAACTGTACAGTTAATTTCTCATCAGATTCTAACTCTCCCTAAAGGCTCATTCTATAGCAGACATTTTCCAGACATTTATTAGCCTAGCTCATTCCCCATTTTAATCACCATCTTAAATGCCACTGGTTTAAAGGTCTCTGAGAAACAACAGGCTTTTACTAGGTAGATCATAGAACAGTATTCCCCCCTTATCTGTGAGGGGATATGTTCTAAGACCCTCAGTGGATGCCTGAAACCACAGATAGTGCTGAACCTTATGTATGTTTTATTTTTTCCTATACATATGTATCTGTAATAAATTTTAATTTATATATTAGGCCAAGTAAGAAATTAATAAGGTTAGTAAACAGTTGGAATATAAAAGATTAATATGTCTCTCTTTCAATACATCATATGTAATATTTTCAGAACATAGTTGACCTCGGGTAAGTGAAACCATGGAGTGAAATTGTGTACAAAGTGGGACTACTTATAGTACACTGGTGCCATTAGGTTCTTTCTAGATGCAGTGTTTGAGACTACTAGATAGTGTATCCTCAATCTTTCTTGCCCCTGAGTTATTCTCTGAAAAGTAAGAAGAAATGGAAGTTCTTACACAGTCACAGTTTGTGTTAC